AGAAGAGACAAGTATTCTTGAAGGAACTGACCAAAGTCATCCCGTCCTTTGGTATGCACTTTGCACCTACAAAGTGTAAGGTAATGCTCGTGGACGTGGAGCCTTTGAAACCGCCGTTTACAATCCCTGGAGTGGCACCGAAATTTGTGGAGCTTCTTTCGAATATTACAAGTTGTATTAGTTCTGACTGTAGTGCGACAGATGAGGTGAATGCACGAATCCGTAAGGCTCGGACCGCGTTTGCTAATTTAAGACACCTATGGCGTCAGAATGGTTTATCCCTGAATCTGAAGGGACGTGTGCATCAAGCTACAGTACGGGCTGTTTTGTTGTGTGTCTGTGAGACTTGGCCTATTCGAGCAGCGGAACTGAGACATCTTCAGGTGTTCAACAGTCGTTGTCTCAGATCCATAGTTCGTGTGAGTTGGTCTCGGCGAATCCGCAACGAGGCAGTTGGAGGGCGTGTTTTCGGTTGTGTAACGGGTACTTCCATTGAAGACTGTGTCCAGCACCAGAAGCTGCGTTGGTTGGGACATGTGTTACACATGCCGAACCATCGTTTGCCGAAGAGAGTACTGTTTTCCATGCCCAATTCCGAGTGCGTAAACAGAGAGGTGGCCAACCCTTGGCTCGATAGAGGAGTATGAAGGAGATCACGAAACGCCTGGGTGCAGTCGGTGCTACTCACCTTCCAGGATGTGGACCGCGTGATCCTTACTGTGCCTGGTTGGAGACACTACAAGATATGGCTGCCAACCGAAGTCAGTGGCGTTCTTGTTGTCAGTTTCTATCCAGATTGCCTGAGTGAGTGTCTGGTGGTGTAGGCAGCTCGGAATGATTGTGGTAAGCTAGCACTTAGTCCCTTCCCCATCCACCTTTACTCTTTTCTTTACAGTAAGGCTTTCAAATAAATGATGGTTGTACGGCAGTGAAGCATCGGTGTTGAACACTGATGTCATGCTGTCGAGGATGATACATCAACCATAACTTGGCAACAAGTATAATTACAAGTGACTTAACGAAAAATTGTTGCCGCATAAATTTTATCCACTGTTTGTTTGTTTGGCTTGCCAAAACACGTCAGTGCTGTTCTTTGATAGCCCAAAACTTCTGAACCATGGAGTGAGATTTGATCACTCAGAGAAAATATTTGGGCTACGTTTGTAACCTAAGCTACTCCTCAGGAAATTCTCGTCTGCTTCTACCCGTGCTTTAAAGGAGTTTTAAATATTTTTTTGTAATTAGAGGTCTCAAGGTAAATAAGAAAAACTACTGAGTGTAGCTCTCCAGCAAAAGAACGTTCACAAATCGACATTACGTACGTGGGTGTGGAGCATTGCCCCTGGAGTTTCTATTCCTTGTGGAGTTTAAAAACCTCGCAAATAACTTTGAGGGCTAACCAGGTTTACTTCGTGAGTATTACACATTCGTCGACAAAATTATGAAGTCACCAACCTTTCTAGCCAATTAGTATACTAGATCCACTCAACTCATCACCATCATTGGTGTATCATTAGTGACACCAGTGCAATGACGCCCAGCAGAGGTTGGCATTCAAAAATCACCTGACCATGTGAAAATGTACAAACCTGGGAAGTACAAATAAATCCTTGGAAGCATTATCTGGTAAGTTTCACTGATCTTTGTTGGAAGACTGTTCGATATCTGTTGACAATTAAGAGTATCATGCATCTCACGAAGCTCTGCAGGGATTCGATGCCATGACTTCCTGGTTTTGTGAGGAGGGCACTGCCGATGATTTCAGGTGAGAGTAAAACAGACCCCGTTGGTTAATGTAAACTTCACCTACAGAATAGAATTTCCAGTGAAATGTTGAAATCCACCTTTCGTCTACAGACACTAAGGCTTCCGAATAGCATAGATAAAAACCGGAATGGGCCCTTTTCCTGCGATGCCGTTACCTGATTAGCAGGTAGCATCACACCGTTTAACTTAAATTGGCATCATGGGGCATTTATATCTCCACCTCTTCCAGTCGTGTTGCGTTCATTTTTTTCGTCGTGACGTTCCGCAAGCTGATCAAGATCTTATCACGTGACTTTTTCTCGTTGCCCGGGGGTATTTTATCCTACAATTCAAGCATCCCTTCAATATTTAACCGCTTTTTCGTCCACAGTGAACATGAACTCTGCAGTGGTAGTCATATGACGTAAAAAAATTCCAGACAGCATAAGACAGGTCACAATATTCTTACTGGAATAACTAGGCCCAAATAGATTGCGAAAAAACATTATGTTGGAACATAGCTTGTGGTTACATTACACTCAGTAGTATACTCCAAATATTACCTGATATTGGAAAATTCAAATGAATTTTAGCTGAACGTTATCGCAGTGCCAGATTTCTTCGCTATCCTGAACCTCAAGTAGGATATCGACTGTGCGGTAGTTCAGTAAAACCAACACTGTCACCCTACAACCGAAAGGATTCTCAGGTCTCTTACCATTCGCCACATCCAATGATTCACTTTACCGCACAGCATCAGGTCAACATCAAATCTCGGTTTCTTCGTGTTCCATTGGTCCGTAGAGTTGCGAAGTGCTTCAGCGTGGATGTACCTGAAGTCAACGTGATTTAACCGGTGCACATATTTTACAGCGTCACGGACGTGTAATACCAAAGAAATCCTTCCAACTGTCTCACAAACCCGATTTGTAAGATCGGCACAGAAGATGTAAAAGATCTTGTGAGGGCGAGATGGACCAAGTGGTTAGAGCGCAAATTTACTAACCGGAAGGTCCGTGGTTCGAACCCGACTTCTCCTCCCTCAACTCCCTGTCTAGACTTGGGCAACCTGACAGTATCCCAGCCCTCTTGCTTCCTTCTGGTGGCAGGGCAACCAGGTACTGAAAGGGTGCTACAGCTGAACGATTTATTATTTACACCAGAAGGCAGAAGTCCACCAATCCCTGAGATAACCATCCACCTTAGGCTAACATTCAAATGCGACAAGGCAATCAGGAATAGACGGTGCCCAGGCGGAACTGCAGTGGCACTCATTTAAAAATGCATCTCACAAAGGTAATCAGTTGTTCAACATAAACATCCACGACTCCTACATGGTAATATATTCGTTCGTTTGCGAATGCTCCGCAAGCCACGTTCATCACGCGATCTGGCACTTATCTAAAAGAATCGCTGGCAAATGTCCAGAAGTACTAGAACTGGACAAGGGAAATACGTAGCAAACAAAATTAGAGCTCACATGATCAATCCGGCTAGATCGTCCAGCAATGACGTATTGAATACCTCCAAATCGTCTGTAGGCCGTTATACAAAACTCTCACCAGGAACGTCAACTGAAAACAGTAACTATGTCTTGCTTGGACCAATCAGTCTTTTAAATAGATTCCGGCTAAATGAATTACATAGCCTTTTTCAACTGCACAAACTACGTAAATGCAAATACGTTAGCCGCTCATATTCTACTTACAACTGCATTTGCCAGGCTTGATTTTAAGAGAAAACAGCTGTTTTCAACACTCATTGTCATTCAGTAGCATGTGACAATGGTGTAGAAAAATATTCTACCATCATTCTGTCTACCGACGATAAGCGAGATGAAGGTGATTTTTCACTCTCTCCTTTTTAAACCATTAGACTGGAAACATCAGTACCGAGAGATACAGCTGGGTTCCAGGTGAGTCTCCCGAAAAACCAAATTTGTTTGCGAATCAGTGTAAATTCGATAATTTCGTGCAATTTGGTCTCAAGTAGAACATAAGTTTGACGGAAACTCGGGGACGGCGCCTACCTGATGAGCCACAGGAAGGGCGAAACCGGTCGTGGGTGGTCGAAGAGTTATCAGCAACCTTATGAGTAGTGCATTACAAAAATATGTATGTATCGCGATACCTCAAACATCGTAGCGACTGAAACATGAGGCGGCTTGGTCCAGCACATTCAGTTGCCTGGAGACATCAAAACCGAGAGATTCAGCTTCGTTCCAGGTAAGTCTCTCGAAAAACCAAATTTGTTTGCAAATGAATGTATATTCGCTACTTAGACTGAGTTGCTTTATGCACCGAAATTCCAGCTGACAAGTGTTTGAGTTTTTTTTTAAATAAACTTTGCCTGTATTTTAATGCCGCACTCTGTAGACAGCTAGTGTTTTCTTGCTTTCTTTCCGTTTATACTGGTTGGAAAGATTCAGAAAACATCCTCAACGACCATCTGCTCAAATTACAGGTCGACACCAAGCTGCAACTTCCATCACAAACTAGTCGAAACTCTTCATTATCAGAATACTACGTCAAATTTTTGTTTGCACTTCTGCCTCCTAATTTTGTGCTCTTGATCAGTCGCTGTTCGTGGCCTGATCAAAGAGAATTGCCGTATCCTTCATTCCCATTCCCGGCGATAGTCTGACGGTTGCTCCACGAAACGTGCATCCATCGACATATTCATTTATCTGCTTATCAGGCTATGTAAGGTTTACTCACCTTCTTAATCAGTCGGTTCTTGCCAGTTGTATGAAACTATCTGCCGGCAGATCACGTGTTCGTATATCCATGAAATTTTTCTGGCGTGAGCGCCGTTGATACATTCAAGTTTCGGCACACAGTTCGTTCAAACTCAGAATAAACTCCCACTCGAGAATTTGGCACTTGCCCACCGCTGCAAACCTTCAGTTGTCTAACTCTGATGTAACGGTGTTTCATTTCCGGAAACAAAGGCATCACTAAACTTACCGTCGACAAAAATTAAGAGAAAATTGGTCGACATAGCTTGTGTGAATTCCCAGTCAGTAGTCATTAAAGGATCCTCAAGAATAGGGTGTGGCAAAACAGGAGCACCCCGATGGAAGTATTACCCAAATTTCGTTGAAAAATCATACATTTAGACATTTTTCTCGGTCTTGTTTTATTAAGAGTTGATTAAACCTGAATTCACAGTGACGTAAATATGTCTTATGACAATTACAATAAGTTTGGTTGTTGGTCTCTTCGCCGAACTTGGTGGTTCAAATACTTTAGATACTATGAAGCTTGGAGTCTCTGTTCCTGAATGAAGAATTGTTTGGTGGCTGTATTGTGGTCCCCAACAATCAACCATGTCTGATGATTTGGATTTGTTGGCGACGGGTAGGAAAGCTGTGGGAGAGAACAGTTTATAGTTCGTTTTTCAACAGCAGAATTACGAAAGCACATGTCTGACCGACTGGTCCCGAGAATGTTATCTAATGACGCACTGGAGGGACGTCGCTTTGGGGGAAGCGCGACATTCCGGTTGGGAGTAGACTGATGTACAGGGGTGGACATGTATGTTACAAAAACTTTTGGACGCTCGAATGCTGGATCAACATTGTGCTTGGAAATTTCCGGTGTAAAACATTTATTGTCCTCTTCTGTGGAAATTCTTTCACAAGCCGTAGGTTGCCCAATTTGGAAATGTTGTTTCATTCGGTACGGGACTGGTGGCAACGTCGATTTGCGCTTGTCTTGCAAACGTCCACCTTGCATGGCCATAGAATAGACCTCCTTGCGATACATTGAATGTCGTGTTTTATAAAGTCCAACGTCGATATAGTTGAATGATTGGTCAGGGCTTTGACGTGATATGAAACGGAACACCGCATCCTGAGCGGACTTGGGCAGCAGAAGTAGCAGGCACATGAAAAACAGAGTTAGTGAAAGTATGACCAACATCACAATTAAACCTATTCGGGGATCTTCGGCCGGTGGTTCATAGATATTGGTCGCGTTGACGTTGGAAGAATTGAGCATCGGTTAGACGGGCGATGTGGACTTGTGTATGAGGTTCACTCCATCACCACAAACACCGTAACCACCCGGCTGAAAGTGAAATATGATGACAGATAATCCAGAATTTTGATGGGTCTAGACAAATATAACAAGATGGCAGTTATGGTATCATGTTTTTGAATTGGCCCTTACAACCTCTGTTATGTATCTCATAGGGGGGGGGCAAATTCTAGCCAACTTGTTCTCTTAGAGCCACAAAAATCTGGGCAGTACATGGAGATTTGGAAATTTTTCGGCGGGAATCTGGTCCCGTTAACAAATCAACACCTGATATGAATTCCGCGACTAAAGGATAAGTAGCGCTACATCCTGTCTAAGTTAACCACAGTGCTGGTAAGTGAACCGCTGTCAAACAACTTGGTCTGCAACTAACAGTCAGGAGGTTGCGATTTCAGAACACCCTGGGAATACTTGAGATTGACGCTGCTGATAAATCACACTGATGTTAAAACGGCTGTGCCATGTTTCTCGGAGTTCTGTCATAGGCTACAGCGCGAAATCTCCACTGCAAAAAAACTGGATACTGAATATGACTGGACGCTATCTGTCTGTGCTGAAGCTTTCAGCTATTTACGCGATCAGTAGTGCGCGCAAATTCGATTATAATCGACCTGGGTTCCTGCGCCTGCAGCGTTACGTAAATTTATCCGCAAAGCAAAAGACAGGAAAATGAGCTTCGTTTAAAAGCAGCCGATGCGTTTTCACTGGGGTTACGCTTATGGTAAATCAAGCATAGATTGGCCATAAGTGCGTAAGTCCGATCTAAAAGTCCGTTAATCTTTTGAGGGAAAAGTAAGCCAATGGGAAACTTTTCCCCATTCACAGCGCTCTCTTTCGAACAGCCCTTCGACAGCCTCGGAAATAGTGTCCCACTGACTCCATAACCGAGAGGTGAGGCACTGGATCCGAACTGTTAGAGCCGATCAGCAATGTTCATCCTTGGATGTGCCGGGATTTGAACCAAGAATCCCTGAACCTTAAAGGCGGGCGTTTTACCGAAATTCCATCACCACAATTGGAAAGAACTAGAGTCAAAATATCTTTACGCATGTTCAGGCTCCAGTTTTACATGCTGATTTCAAAATTCTGCAAGCGTATAGTCTTCTGATGAGCTCAAAGAGCAGCAAAACTACTCCAGTTTTCTATCAATGCATTAGAATAATATTAGCAGGGCAGGAGATAAACTGTCTAAACGATACTAGTGTGATTTCCAAATATCCCGTGACAACCTACAGCCAGTCCTAAGTTATCCAGTGAGTTTCAGGCGTCCATTTAGTTACCTGACTTCTTGAGACGTCGGGTGAACCGATCAAAGGGCTCACGTTTGCTTTGTCAGACGTGATAATCTAAGTGCGTTCATAGTGGGTTGGTAGTGTAGTGACGTGCTCTTCTCGCACGTCGGATGAACGGGACTCAAGTCTCAGCGCGACCAATGACATACGCTACTAATTAGTTGTAAAAAGAAGGGTACTCTTATCTAGCACATTCCGTTTTTTTTATTTTGACTCAACTAAATAATCGAGCAAAGAACAAAGAACGGTTGTTCAAACCAGAGTGATGTGATCACGAATTAAGAATCTCCCGCAAACTGCGATATGTCGAATGTCCTGCCCACTAAAACATGAGGCGGTTTCTGCGTAGTAAACTGGAGATTTTGTAACCAAAACATTCGGCCGTGACTCAGTTAAATCTTCCACTAAGATCCAATCAGCGCGAAAAAGAACCTTGCATTAGAATAACACCTTTTCCAGAAGTCATGGAGAAATACATTGTTGCCTTTCGAGAAGACTGGATTCGTTTTAGAGCGGATATGTCATACCAGGATTCAACTACACTTTTAAGCAAAAGCTTGCCGCAGCACAATCGATTGCTAATAAACAAAGAATAAATCATGTGAGCTCCCACACAGTGAATACACTATCTATATGGTTGTTAGAACATCAGGGAGATAAACCCACGTTTTCATGTTCTACTCTATCCGGAGTGCGCTGGTGGCGTAGTGGAGATACTCTTACATCGCATGTCAGATGTCCGGAGTTCAAACTCCCGCACCACCGGCACTGCTCACGAGCTCTAATACGCTCAAGTTCAGTTAGTACCGTTTGATGTGGACTCACCAGAGTAATCTCACCAGAGAAGGAAGATAACTATTGAAACAAGAATTATGTTGAGATGAACTCCATGCGTCTCTCAACCACCCAAAACTCAGCATTACCTTGACGATAGACTACTTTGCTGGACTCTAGCGGTAGTATCCGGCAGAGGACCTTGAGCCCGCTTTCATAAATTAAATACCTTGTTTCACTACAAGGCACTATTGACAGAAAAACCGACCTCAGTCTGTGCAAAATGAAGTTTCAAATTCTGCTAGCCCAGGTCACCAGATGTGCGTTTTCAATCTGTTCCCAAGGTATGGTCAAGCCCCGAAAAGCCGATACACACAAGTTCTTTCATCCCCATTGTAAGTCAGCGGGAGGACATAGTCCAGCGTTCCCCGCGAAAATGATTTAAATCCATGTTAAAGGCAGAAAACTACTGCGTGCCCGTTTAATGAGTTTTGAGAATCACCAACAATATGTATTCAGTATACCTTCAGAATGATTCACGTCCATATCGTTCTGGTAAGCAGTTAGACAAAATGAATGTTTGAATGAGAGATAATGGAAAAACCTCGCATCTCTCACCCATCCTGTCACTTGATCTGGACGATTTAGTCAAACTAGGCGAGTTAAAAGACAATTATATCTAGGTCAAAAAGAATAATGTTTTATCCGGTCAATTTAGTTCACTCTATATAGCCAACTACAGGCAACCCCTACTGAAGCTGGAGTAGCAAATACGTTCACGATTTGTCATACGTCGGGAACGTAACTGATGAATCAGGTCAATAAGGCGATAATGATGAAATAATCCATATTTACACCTGGACGTCATAATGAATTTGAGGATAAATTCACCCAGTTTGTATAAAACAATATTTTGCGATAATTTTCCATTTTTATCTACGTCGTACAGCTACGAAACAGCCGACGCCTTTTTTATTACAGTGCAAACCGTTTGTGGAAGGAGATTTGAAGTTTGATAAGCGGTGCGAGAACAAAGCAAATGCGGACTGCCTAAATTCACAACCGTCATTCACACTGAACAAAGTAAAATTCGCTCTTGTTTGTACTCCGAAAATTACAATTGAATTTCAATCAACTAAAATATCAGGTCACATCCCAAAATTTGAAAAGACCGCTTAAAAACAACTCTTTGAATTTTGTCCTAAAAACTGCTGGATTGTATTCTTTGTCTTGAGGGAATTAAAAGGAAACAACCGTTACCGATCTCTACCAGGTTTCTTGTTTTCTCACAGGTTCTCTTCAATACTGCAACGATGGTGTACTCTTCGAAGAGAGACCACTTATCACGAAATATAGCCACTTCATTCCAATTCCGTTAAGTCGGCCCTGAAACTGATATTTTCTTGAAGATCATCCTCCAGAAAAGATTACTCTTAATGTCTCCGGGGTGCGAAACGTCATCCTAAAAACGACCTGTATTCGTACACTGAACTGTTATGTTATTACACCGTTCAAGTACAGAATGAACGAGTTTCTCAATTGCTTTCAGGGTTATTTAACAAATTATTTCAAAGCTACTCAAGTCTACCACCTTCATGGAGAGTGCCTCTCAACTGAGACTAATTGTGACCGAGATCAAGACAGTCATATCTACTGTAGTAGAAAACAACTACAGAATGAGATCAAAGTTGATGAATTCTCGAGGTCACTGGAGTTGAAAATGATATACTACACTTTGTTACTATGGGCAATCTCCCCAAAAGAATCGGTCACAGAAATTATACCTTTAGAGAACACAGGTGTGTACTTCATCTCAAAGGGCCAACCAAAAGCAGTTTCTCTGTGGATCGATCGCCTCCGGGCAAGATTTCACCAAGAAACGGATGTTGCAAATGCTGAACAAGATAACTTCATCCCCTGAAGCGCACAAGTTTTGACCCAAATGAGCGCCCCTGGTAAAACTTCAAATGGTGACTGTGTCTTGGTGACCTTCGCACGGAATATTTTAACCCCCACAAAATTAGAGATATCTGTGGACGAGAAAGGCAAAATTATAAGGGTGTTTCGTTTTGTTTCTGATATGACGGTCAGGGAATTATAATATTTTCATATTAGCTTTATTGTGTGGGTCTGCATCGAAAAAATACCCACCCTCCGTAGTTTACGCTTCATCAGCTCCGGAATACCAACCACGAGAACAATGAAGGTATCGTTCAGCCGTAATCTGGTCTGCAGCTGATCGTTTCCATGAATTTGGTTTTGAATTTGCTGTTTGACTTGTAGAAGGCTTAGGATAATAAAGTGTGCCAAGTTCGTGTGTGGTCTCGCTTGTTTAGAGAAAAGCATCAAATACCTCTTTCGAAACTTGATTTCATTTGACCCCTTTATTAGACAATTTTAGCTCAAATGAATCTCGAGAGGAATTCGCCTTTTGGACACTTGTTACAGTGTGATTGACACAGAACCATGATTTGAACAGTGAACTAGACCGTGTCTGATTCTCTCCTGATCCAACGCTTACTTAGTCGACAATTTTCAGGTCCGGGTGTCCAAATTCACCAGAAGAAAAAAAGAATCAAGGCATCATTTTCAAAAGCAGCGTCTGCTTACGTTTTTGATGAATTTCTACGATATTCAAATGCAATTTTCAACAAATGTATTACCTATAATCTGAGTAATTTTCTTTCGAAATGGATTCCGTAAACGTTCAATCGTCGCTCCTATTTACGTAGGTGTATCTGTGGTATGTTTAGCGCGGAAAAAAATAATTAAGATTGAAGAACCAGCAGAAAAATCTGAGGAACTACCAGTTATATCGCACTTTTAAGCATACGTGGGCGGACAGTCTGCCCTGATATTTTATGAAATGCTATTGGGATGTCACGAATGACCGTT